GAGCAGCTAGCCATGCAATCCCCCAAACTCAATTACCTTTTGTGAGGCGGCGGGGGCATGACACCTCATAGCCGTATTGATCACTGCAGACTGGGCCAGACGTGAGGGATCTGAGATGCTAAGCAGCAGTTTCTGGGCTTTTCCTTCCTCAGTAGGCCTCCCCTCTCTGTGGCTGTAAAGACACTGGCACGAATACAACGGAAGTCTGTGACCCAAATGGGGTGAGCCTGCAAGAACCCTCTCTCGGTAGTTGCCTTAGAAGCTGGCTGATGACAAATGGTCACAGTGGACCAGAACTTGAACTCCTGGAGAGCACCGTGTCAGAATGGTTTTCTAACTGTAGCTCTTTGCGTACCCTGGGTTTTGCAAGCAATTGCATGATATGAACTCCAAATGCCATTGCAGCTAGAAAAAGTTTGGAAGGAGACACACCCAACTGTGAACAGACTTGAGGGGATGGGGGGTGGGGAAGGTGCAGGACTAGCTTTATCTGTAGGTAGGATTTCAAGTTTTTATCCTGAGTATATATTCCTAGATTACTTGTGTAATTGTTAGGCATAAATAAAAGTAGGAAAACAAGAAATTGGTTTTTTGATAATAATAAAAAATAAAAGCAAGCCATTAGAGACAGTTTTCTGAGGTCACTACTGACCAAGGATCTGAGTGGTGCAAGAATTAAGCCTATTGGGGGAGAAAGATTGCTTGAGCGGGGAGATGTTGGAGACACTCAGAGAGAGGAGGGGAGAGGGCTAGAGATAGAACCCTAGAGGAACACACCTTTTAAAAGAAAGAAAAATATATTTTTTCTTCTAACACGAGCACTATGGGTCCATTATGGACAAATGAGAAAATGCAGCTAAGAAAAATAAAAGTAAAAATCCCCTTTAATCCCATCGCTCCGGTATGGTCACTGTTAACATTTTGGTATATATCTTTCCAAACTGTATTTTTTTTTCTATGCAAAAATATACATATTTATTTCATAAAAATCAGATAATCGTTTTCACTGGCCACGGCAGATGCACCATGATTTGTTTAATCATTAAGTGGATTGGGTTCTGACATTGGCATTTAGGTAAGTTCCAAGTTTTTATGATCATAAACAGCAGTGCTTCCTAGCTGTGTGACCTTGGGAAAGCTAGCTAACCTCTCTGTGCCTCTGGTGCCTCCTCTGGGAATGAGGGTGATGATAGTGCCTACCTCATAGGGCTGTTGTGAGTAGTTTTTGCTTTAGGGGAGGGGGAGAGTGACTGGAATTTTTCTTTTTGAGTAGTATACTATAGTGAGTTCTGGAGTCAAACAGAGCTGTATGCTTTTGGTCATGTCAATTCACTTCACCGAGACTCAGTTTTCTTATCGGTAAACTGAGAGTTAAAAGCAGCTGTTAGGATCAAATGAGAGAATGCTTGTAAAACCCTCAGTGTAGTTCTTGGCGTATGGGAAGAGTTCCAAGTCAGTTGGTATTATTATTATTATTATTATTATTATTATTACTATTATTACTATCACTACGATGATTGAGCCATTAGTTGGGGTGGGAAGAGGAAGGTGGCACTTCGAATGTTTCTAACCACTTGTCTGTTTACAAAGAGAGGAAATGATTCTTGAATCAGACTGACCCGGGTTCAGATCTGGGCTTTGCCATGTACTAGTTCTGTGACCTTGGTCACAAATTCTCCAAGCCCCTCTCCCCATTTGTAAAAGAGTGAATATATATATATATATATATATATATATATATATATATATAT